TCAGTGGTAGAGTGCTTGCCTTGCTTTATGAAGCCTTGGGTTCAATTCCACAGCACCACATACACAGAAAAAACCAGAAGTAGTGCTGTGGCTCAAGAGTTAGAGCCAAAGAAGCTCAGGACAGTGCCCACGCCCTGAGTTCAAGCCCCAGGACTGGCAAAAGAAAAGAAAAAAGAATCTTGAGCAAACTCCTGCAGCTTCTGTAGAAAGGGAGGGTCAGTGTGGGAGCTGCTACTGGATGTGTAATTTTGGAATGAGGACAGAGACAAACTTAAAAATATTCTATACCTGAAATACAACTTGAAAATGGTGTAGCTACTATATTTAAAAAAAGCAGTATGCCAGTTCTTAAAACAATAAAAAATAGAATCATGATGTGATCCAAAAATTTCATTTTCAGTTCCCAAGGAAATGAAAGTAGAAATTTAAGAGAGATTTGTATGTTCATAGTAGTATTATTCTCAGTAGCCAAAAGGTAAAAGCTACCTGGGGTCCAAGGAGAGATGATTGGATACACAAAAATGTGGTATTTGCATACAATGGAATAGAATTGTTTTTTTAAGGAAAGGAAACTCTGATAACCTGAAAACTTGCCAAGTGAAAGAAAATGACAAAAAAAAAGAGACAACTTGTCACCAGTGGCTCATACCTGTAACCTTAGCTACTCAGGAGGCTGAGATCTGAGGATCGTGGTATGAAGCCAGCTCAAGCCAGGAAAGTCCCAGAGACTTCATGTGCAATTAACCAGTTAAAAAAAAGCTGGAGTGGAGGTATATCTCAAGTGGCACAGCACCAACCATGAGTAAGACAGGTAAGAAAGATTCAAGGTCCTGAACTGGAGTCTCAGTACCATCATGAGAAAATAACAAGGTATTTTCTTTTGTATGTCCTTGGTTATTAGAGGTTGAAAACTTGAGGCTGTTACATGTGATACCTAAAATAGCCAGACTCAGCCAGGAGGAAGAATGGTGGCTGTAGGAACTGGGGACAGGAGATATGGGGAACTAATGCTCAATGGAGAGAGATTCTGATGGGGAAGATAAATGGTGATACTGGCTTCACCCAGTGTGAATGCACTTAATGCCACTAAATTTAACACTGAAAAGCAGGCAAGATGGTATAATCCTAGTTATTCTGAAGGCAGAGATGTGAGGATCCTGGCTTGAAGCCAGTCTGGGCAGAAAAAAATACCGAGACTCTTATGTCCAATTAACCAACAAAAAGCCAGAAATGGGGGGCTGGGAAGGTGGCTCAGTGGTAGAACGCTTGCCTTGCATGCCTGAGACCCTGGGTTCGATTCCTCAGCACCACATAAGCAAAAAGTAAAAAGCCAGAAGTGGCGCTGTGGCTCAAGTGGTAGAGCGCTAGCCTTGAGCTGAAGAGCTGAGGGACAGCGCCCAGGCCCAGAGTTCAGGCCCCATGACTGGACCCCCCCAAAAAAGCTAGAAATGGAGTTCTGGCTCAAGTGGTATAGCTCCAGCCTTGAGTGAAAAGGTTAAGGGACATCACCCAGGCCTCAGTACCAGTCCCCCATTTTTTTTTTGCCCTTCATCTTTATCGATATCAGTGAAAGAGTTCTAGAGGATATTTGGGGAATTCCTGACTTAGCTAAATCAGCCTCTGAGTTCCATTTTCATCTGAGAAATGAAAGGATCGAGTAGTTTCCTTGAGTCCAAGAAGTTGTATGAGAAGAAGGGAGGTGTGGGAAAATGACCTTCATGGAAAATAGGAACAAAGGACTGACCAGGTGCTGGTGGCTCAGGCCTATAATCCTAGCTATTCAGGAGACTGAGATATGAGGGTTGTGGCTCAAAGCCAGGTTAGGCAGAAAGTCCATGAGACTCTATCTCTAATTAGCCAGAAAATGCTAGACTAGAAGCATGGCTCAAATGGTAAAGTACCAGCCATGAATGAAAAAGCCAAGCAAAAAAAGCTAAGTGAGAGGAAGATGCAAAAGCAATGTAAGACTATACAAGTGAACACTGACTCTACTACAGGTCAGATATTTACTTTTTTATTTAAAATAACTTTTTAGTTAAGAGATAAAATATTTCAAACATACAGAAAAATTCCTAATATGGCAACAATGTATCTCCATAACAGACCTTCATATTTTACTAGATATAGTGTGTGTGTTTAATTTTTAATTTTTAAATTTTAAATTTTTGTACCCATCCTGGAGCTTAAAATCAGCCTGGAGCCGTCCCTGTGAGTTTTTCCAGTTGATGTTCAAGGTTCTACCACTTGAGCCACAGCTCTATTTCCACGATATAGAATATATTTTTCCTTTTCATCTTGCTTATCATCTTTAACCTTCAGTAAGACAAGGACTTATGTGTGTGTGTGCATTGGTCCTGGTGCTGGAACTCAGGACTTAGACTCTGTCCCTGAGCTTTTTGTGCTTAAGGCTAGCATAACACTCTTCCACTTGAGTAACCATTTTCAGCTTTTTGGTGGAGATGGGAATCTCCATGGACTTTCCTGCCCTGATAGCTTTGAACTGGATCCACAGATCTCAGCCTCCTGTGTAACTACAATTACAGGTATGAGCTGCCTGTGCCTGACTTCTTTGTCCATTTTTAACACTTATGTATATTTTATAGAGCATAGCTATAGATCAACATAGACTTAGATAAGTAGAGAGAGAGAGATGTAGCTGGGCGTTGGTGGCTCATGCCTATAATCCTAGCTACTCAGGAGGCTGAGATCTAAGGATGGTGGTTCTAAGCCAGCCCAGGCAGGAAAGTCCATGAGACTCATCTCCAATTAACCACCAGAAACCCGGAAGTGGCACTGTAGCTCAAGTGGTAGTGTGCTAGCCTTGAGCTGAAGAGCTCAGGGACAGCATCAGGCCCAGAGTTCAAGACCCATGACTGACAAAAAAAAAAAAAGACAGATGTGCTCTGTTAGTAATTTACAAATGCCTTCCAGTATAGTTTTTCTTTGTTATGCGTTTTGGAGGACCAAGCATTTTTATTTTTTATTTACAGAAATTTACTAAAATTAAAATTTATGATGTATTTAAATTTCTATACCAGATCATCCATATTGATGCCTGCAATAAAGATGTCATTTTAAGCCACATTTATAGATTTCAACTTAAATGGCACTTGAAGAATAGAGAATACCAGATCTTTTATTGACATTTAAAATTTTAATGGTTAAAATGTATTAATATTTCTTCTTTACTTTATGTGTTTTAAAAACTCCTACCTTGGATTAATAAAGGCATCTATTTTTAAACTTTTTGTCACTTTTTATTTGGAAATAACTTCAAAGTTACAATGTTGCAAAAAATACATTCTGTTATGCTATTTACCCAGATTTGCTTATTAACATTTTTACCCATTTGCTTATTTGAAATTATTATATATACAACATACTATATATGCAATCTGTCACATATATCTTCTGAACCATTTGAGGATTACATACATCATGATGTTTAACACTATACTTGTGTATATTTCCTAAAATAAGAATAGTCGCTAAGCAAATTACAGAACAGTTATTAACTGCAAATTTATGCAGTTAATTTGTATCTTGGTAACTTTCATTCATACTCCAATTTTGTTGGTTGCCTTAATTTTTTGAGGTGTGGAGGAGAGAGGAAAAAGTTGAAGCAGGGTCTCTGTGTAGTCCACCATCTCCTACTTCAGCTTCCCAAGTGCTGAAATTACAGGTGCAAATAATCACATTGAACTTACGTTCATATTCTTTTTTTTTTTTTTTTGGTCAGTTCTGGGGCCTGAACTCTGGGCCTGGGCACTGTCCCTCAGCTCTTCAGCTCAAGGCTAGTGCTCTACCACTTGAGCCACAGCACCACTCCTGGCTTTTTCTGTTTGTGTGGTGCTGAGGAATAGAACCCAGGGCCTCATGCATGCAAGGCAAACACTCTACCACTGAGCCACCTTCCCAGCCCCATTCATATTCTTTATAAGTTTAACGTGCTGCATAATGAGTTAGAAGAGAGAGAGAGAAAAAGCAGTCATTATACAATGGAGAAATATGGAGACATTTGACCAGATGACCAAAATAAACCTATGAGGAAACAGATAGAAACTCTACACCTGCAGACAAGATGACCCAAGAAGGACACCAACCCACTCCCTCCCCCCACCAGAAACAACAACAACAACAACAACCCAGTAACCATACAATGGTTGCTCTCTTCCAACTCAGAAGTGACATGTAGGGAAATAATCTACCCACCGTTAGCATCTACAGATGAGTCTTATCTCTACCCTTTACCATGATAGTTGAGAAAAAATTCATTTAAAAAGTTTGGTTTTTTTCATGTGTATGTCTGTAGCCTGGAGTTGAGTGTGTATGTGGTGTGAGGAAGGGATCTGATTTTATTTTCCTCCCTTATGCAGTTAGCTAATCAGATCCAGGCTGGAAGCAAGACAGACCAAGAGGTGAACTAGGGGCTCCCATCCTCCACTGGCATGCCTCTCTCTGACTGATTAAGGGATCCTAATCAGCTTGGGGAGATTAAGGGCTCTGGCCGGCTGTTCCCACACCCCGCCCTGGGCTGGTCAGACGGAAGGGGGATCGACCTGTGACCCCTCACCCGGGCCCTGGGCCCAAGCCCTGGACTTTCTGGTGAGTGGCAAAGGCTTCTCTGCTGGGCCAGGTCTTAGGCCGGACTCAGAACTCAGGTGTGGTCTAGGCGCGAGGGTGTGTCCCGTTAGCTCCTGTCAGCATTGACATTGTTGACAGGAGAAAACGAGCTGGAACCAGAAGCAGGGGAGGGTGGAGGGTGCGTCCAGGTTTCGAGCTGCCCCCCCCCACTCCCCCGGGCCAATCTGATCGTCCAATTCTGCCTATGGGGGTGTTGTGGATGTGGAAATACCCCGTGGGTCCATGGGTGAAGTGGGATGTAAGAAACAGGCTTGCAGGTGTATATGGAGGGGATGAGGAGCCCTAAGGGAGGTCTGGGGGGAGGAGGGGGTCCTCGATCTCCCGGCCTGCGGCGTCTGTGTTCACAGGAGCCGGCGATGACCGTGTGCGCTGTCCCAGAGGGTGGCCTTCCCGACCCCTCCCTCGGTGCCTCGGCCCGGAGCCCCGAGTTTCCGAGCAGCCTCCTGCTCTTCCTGCTCTTCCTGCTTCTCTCACCCCACTCGGCCCTCTCCTCGGTGTTCAAAGTCGGGGTGCTGGGTCCTTGGGCTTGCGACCCCATCTT